CGTGTCATTTAAGACAGTCTCCAGTGGAGGGAGGGGGGGGGGGAGGGGGGGGGGGTTGGACATGACAGGGAAAAAGAAAAAGGGGGAGGGGATGGCAGGGAAAAGGAAAAAGGGGGAAGGGGAGGGCTCCAAGGAGGCCTTTCTGCCGGTCAAGGACGACGACCAGCGCGAGGCGATTCGCCTGTGCTGCATATTCAAGTACTTGACGAAGGGTCAGACGCTGGAGAGTTGCAAGGGCAACTTCAAGATGAAGTGTCGCTTCTGCGACAAACCACCTTTCCAGGGCAGTGAGGCATGGGGTGCTGAGCACTTCACGAAGGGTAGGTGCCCCAAGGTGACACCAGAGGTCCTCGTCGACATTTGGAATACCACACAGTACCCTTTCGACCAGCGGCGAGAGAGACAGGTGCTGGATTACATGGAGTATCGTGGCATCCGGAATAATAGAGAGGTGGGAGTTGGAGTGTCGGAGGATGACGAGGTGCAGGATGTTTTGGACAGGGAGGGGGCGGACAGCGAGGGAGGACAGTGTGGCGGCGAGGACGATGAGATGGACACAGGGGCGGAGGGTGAGGGCGAGGGACCGACGGAGGACGACGGTGAGGACGATGTTCAGGAGTTAGGAGCGTCCCTTCAGGGGGGATCATTGAAGGCACGATGCACTGCTCATCAGACAAGGACTCGTGCGCCTATGGATGGCCGTGGGAAGAGGAGGGCGGACACCGCTCCTGCGGCACGCGTGCCGGACCCGAAACGTTTGAAGCAGGTCAGACTGGATGAGATGTACGACCCGGAGTGGCAGACCACCTTCGACCATCTCTTCCTGCAGTGGTGGTATATTTGCGGTGTCCCATTTGAGAGGGCGAGGATGCCCGAGTACAGGGTCCTCATGAGACATTTGCAGAACATGCCCCGGGCCATGGAGCCTACTTTGACCAGTTCAAGCGCATAGCAGGCAGTGGCATACAGGAGGAGCCTGCGTACATAGCTGATAAGCTACGTGACATACGCGAGCAGGTGCAGCACACAGGGGCTACCATCCTCACGGATGGGAGGAAGTCCCTGAACTTTGAGCCCATCGTGAACTTCTTGGCAGCGGGACAGTCGGGCACCTTCCTTTTCACGACGGTGCGCAGGGAAGGGGTTGACGCAGAGACGTCAGACGTCGTCTTGCAGCGCTGGAAGAAGGTGTTCGAGAAGTTCGGCGTGAAGAACATCAACGCCATCTGCATGGACTCTGCATCAGTTTATGTCGCTGCCGGTCGAGCGCTTTGCAACGATCCCGATCCAAATATCCGTCGCATCCCTTGGCTCCCTTGTTCTGTCCATTGCTGCAACTTGATGTTGTCAGACATGGTTAAGGATAAGACATGGGCCATCGACTTGTTGACCAGGGCGAGGGCGGTTGTACGATTCATTAGATGTCATGGATCGGCTCTCGCGTTGTTCAGGAGTTACAGCGCGAGGGCCGATCGCGATGCATGTGCGGACCGTTTGGGTGGCAGCGCCGCGGGCGGAGAGGGGACAGTAGGCAGACCACGACGTGGCCGAGAGTTGTTGAACCCTTGCCAGACGCGATTCGCGTCTTTGTACATAATGATGGAGAGGTTGCGCGACCGCAGGGTTCCACTTGAGACGATGATGTTGGAGGGGGATTGGGCGCGACTTCCATGGGAGAGGAGGTTGCTCGGGCAGGTCGGGTGGGTGCGCACACAGGTGCGATGCGGGCTGTTTTGGGAGGAGATGGATGATCTCATCGACGTCTTCACCCCGGTCGTGCAGTTGTTGAGGATGTTGGACTAGGGGGGGTTGGTGATCTCTTGCATCTTCCGGTGGGTGACCCAGTTGACCGAGGAGATTCGGAAGTTGGAGTCGACGAGACCTCGCCTGGTTGGCATGCTGCAGGATTGTTACACTCGTGCATGCCATCTGCTCGAGCCCGCCCATGCTGCCGCCCATCTTCTCAATCCCAAGAGGCGGAACTTCGTTTACTTACAGTCTCCGAGGCGCAGCGATCAGGAGAAGAAGGTGGCGGAGATGACACTTGAGTACATCTACACGCAGACGGGCTTCGACCGGTAGGGAGACAGGTACAGGTTGGTCCGTCAGCAGTTGTACGACTTCCACGCGCGCGGGCCGAGGTATGATTGGGGTGGAGATGCAGGCACTGGAGACGAGGACACGTGCGAGGGGCTGGATGAGACACAGGCCATTGCTGATTGGTGGGTTTTGCACGGCAGCTGTGCCCCTGAGCTTTGTGCCATCGCCACACGTCTGATGTACATGTGGGTCTGCGCCTCTCCTGCAGAGAGGAACTGGGCGTTGCACGAGCGTATCCACGAGAAGCGCCGCAACGGGTTGGACTTCACGAAGCTGACTGAAATGGTGGAGATGTGCGCGAACAAGAAGCTCCTCGCGTGTAGACAGAGGAGGAGGGGACTTGTTCTGCCGTGGGGTGATCTTGAGGAGGGGTTGGACGACGTCCCGGAGCCGCGCATATCAGGTACTCTGCCGCCGGGGTCATTGACGGACGAGGAGATCGCGCGCCAGGCGCGCAGGATGCAGCGTGCCTCGACGGTTCGCCACCCCCCTGCGGTTCAGACTGTGTTTGGTCGTCGTGCAGCTCATATCGAGCTGTACCACGAGGAGATCGAGTACGATCCACCCACGGACCCGCATGCTGCAGACGAGATGAGGGAGAGCCCTGGACAGACCCGGAGGACTTAGAGCAGAGAGGCAGTGACACACCTGATGTTGGTGACGAGTCCGGCGGAGAGAGTGATCATGAGGCTGCCAGTGAAATGCGTTCGCGGGCTCGGCAGAGCCATTGTGATATTGATCGCATGACCCCTCCCTTGACTAGGAGTGCGACGGATAGACGGTGCAAGCAGACACAGGTTGTGCGATCGTTGAGCAAGGACGAGGGAGGTGACAGGTCAGACGGCGGAGATGCCGCTGATGACGAGGACTCCGACGTCGAGAGAGAGGGACCCGACTAGGACAGAGGACATGGGGACGAGCATGGATTCGATGGCGGTGACGGCAGTGGGCCGATTGAGGATGGAGGGGGTGGCGCCTTCCTTGTTACTCCTGGCCCCAGTGCAGTGGGCGGGGGCGGTATTGGCGGACATGGATTTGGTTTGGAGGTACCGGAGGGATCGATTCCCTCGGGCATTTTCAGTGACGACTTCGACCTTGGACGTCCACCCACTTCAGATGCTCGGCGCGGCGGGGTGCGTGTTCAGACACCGGTGAGCGAATTCGCACACCTCATAGGGTCGGTTTTTGGTGGTGCTAGTTCAGGTTTGTTGACAGAGGCTGCCAGAGCGTCAGGCGAGATACAGGAGGGCAGGACTGGTGACGACGTCAGTCCTGTTGCCAGGAGGCCACATATGGACCCCGAGGATGTGCTTGAGGAGGAGCGTTTGGCACGGATGGTGTCGGGGTGTGCCACGACACAGCGGCTTGCGTTGGATCAGGACAGGACCAGGGCGAGGGAGATGGGGTGTAGTGTAGAGGAGGTCACTTTCGCCAGACTAGCAACAGAGTATAGACACGATGGTCCTGCAAATGTTACAGATGGTGGAGGACTCTGCACAGAGGGACACGTGGTGGATCGTGTGGACGACCACCAGGAGGACGCGAGGGTAGGGTTGGGTGGTTTATGTGGGGCCAGCGACACAGTACTACCCACTACTGATGAGGCGGACGGGGGCGACGGCGCGGCCACGACAGACGCAGGGGGGTCGCTTGGGTGCAATGGCACGGAGGTGAGGCAGGTGGATAGAGCACTTGTCGGTGTTGTCGTTGCCGCAATGGAGGATGTGGTCGTAGATCACACTCAGGATGGTCTTGTCGCGGTGGATGCTATGGTTGCACATCGCAACGAGGAGGAGCGATAGGTGGACCCCGGGGACGTTGTTGCACACCCTCTAGAGGCACACATGCCCAACATGTCCCCACTCGAGCGCCACATTGCTGGGATTGATCCAGTGATGGGCAGGAGCAGGCATATATCGAAGAGGCTTTGGAAGGCTGTGCCTCCATCTTCTTTCGTGCATGTTAGTCCGCCAGCACCCTCGGGGGTATCGGGGGATATTGGGAAAACTATGGAGATGGCCGACTTGTTCGAGCAGTTGACAGGTCAGAGGGTTATCGAGCCGGGAGGGTATCATGGGGAGCAGGGCCAGTTGCTGCAGGGACACGACCAGCATGTGCAGGGGCGGTGAGTGGACGGGGAGGTGAGTCTGGTGGCAGTGTTGTGGGCGGGGGAGGTGGTCCCGCAGTTGTCGGTGGACGGTCGGGCCTTTCGGGCGGGCGTGTTGGTTGGGGAGAGGGTTCTGCTGCGTCGGCAACCACAGGAGGGCACGGGTAGGTGCAGGGTTCTCCATCACCTTCATCGAAGGTGAAGGGGAAGTCCGTATCGTGGAGCGGCATCAACAGGGTCACCTGCAAACTCAAGGATGCTATGCCTGGGGTCACGGGTGAGAGGAGGGATCGTGAGGGGAGGTTGACAAAGATGTTTGCGGACGAAACAGGCTGGGTACGGAAGGGAGATAGGTTGGAGCATCCTGGTGCCGGGTCGTCGTGTGTTGCAGATCGACGGGGCAGCACGATGGTTGCACCGCCGTCACGACCGCCCACAGCAGGTGAGGCACAACGAGATGGTCATCGACGTCCGAAAGGGCGATCTTCCACACGTGCTTTGCCAGGTGCCCGACCACCCCCAGCATTGTTGGAGGATGACTTTGATCCTGTCACTTTGCAGACGAGCCGTGTTGTATTTCTACTGCACACAGGATACTGGATGAGGAGCCGCGACGTCGGACAGGTACAGGACCTGGCAGTCGTCAAGCTGCTGGGGGCCGCACAGAGGATTCCGCGACGGATGGGGTGCCCATGCCTAGGGGTAGGAAGACATACACGACTCTGACTGGCGTTTTGGGACGTTCTGCTGGAGGGGGTGTTGAGAGAGAGGCGGAGGTCCAGGAGGCAGAGAGGGTGGCAGCCAGAGCAGTTGCCAGTCATGCCGTGTCTGCGTCACAGCATCCATGGGAGGGAAAGAGACGGCGGCGAAGGTGCCGCAAAGGCGGCGAGAGAGCATCATCGACGATGATGACACAGACGACGGGCAGTGCGATGCGCCGTAGACTAGGACTTCGATTTCACACCGATGATGTTTGTGTGTATCTTTCTTCATTTAGAGTTCCACAGGTTTCGTTCTTCTTCTTGTTTTTTTGGTTTTATTTTTTAGTTATTCTTCTTTTATAATATTTCCTCTTGTTTACTTTTTTTTTTTTTTTTCACATTGACACTACTGTGCGACTCCGTGCTTTCACTGAGATTTCATGTATTTCACCATGCTTCCACTTCTTTTAGTTACTTTGGTTACTTCATATTTTCATTGTTCAGTTTTTTTCTTACTATGGCTTTTGTGTTTGTGTATTTCGGTTTGTTGTACTGTCTTCATTGAGGTAACCATGCGGGAATGTCTGGGGAGGGGTAACATGTCTGGGGGGGTGTGCGGGAATGTCTGGGGAGCGGTAACATGGGTTTACAGAGGGGTATGTGGGAATGTGGGAAGAGGGGTTACTTGGCTTTAATGACGGCATTGAGGGGTATCTGGGAATGTAGGGGGGGAGGGGCTGGGGGTCTGGTGCGTCGGTGGTACTTGGTGAGGGGTGTTGGTGGCACTGGGGGATTCGGGCTCGACGCGTGGTAA